TACTATTTCTATACTACTCTTCTACTATGTCCTATTTACTGTTGACTACTCTACTATTTGCTATTATACTATTTTACCACGACCAGAGCCGTTTGCATTTCGGAAACCAACCTGCGCCGGTTCACCCAGGACTTTTTACTATTTTACTATCTTACTATTTCTATACTACTCTTCTACTATGTCCTATTTACNNCTCTACTATTTGCTATTATACTATTTTACCACCACCAGAGCCGTTTGCATCTGGGAAACCGACCTGCGCCGGTTCACCCAGGACTTTACTATTTTACTATTTTACTCTTCTACTATGTCCTATTTACTGTTGACTACTCTACTAGTTGCTATTATACTATTTTACAACGACCAGAGCCGTTTGCATCTCGGAAACCGAGCTTTGCATGTTGACGCCCAAATTTGCATGTTGACCCAAGGGATCCCAAGACACCAGGTGCTAGGAGAGGCTCGGGGTAGCCTGTCCCACGTGAATGTAAGCCTTCGAGACTAGTGCTGACATAACCTTTGCAACGGACAGGTTTGGAAGGCCGCAGAGGGTTTCTGATCTGACATGAACAGCATTTGACTGGCAACGTGCGGCCCGTGCCTCAGAGCGGAGCTGAGCCAAGGGCTCCGGCAAAGCAGAAGAGCCATCGGCGAGGTGTACGGCGCAGAGCTGCGTGCAGAGCTGCCAGGCCACTGGGTCCTGGACTTTGCCAATGGCCATCGCCCAGAAAAGCCGGATCAAGGCCTCCTGCTCCAATTCGCGTCCGGCGGTAGCGAGCTTTGCCGCAAGGTCACAACGCGTTGCGAGGTTCTCGAGATCCGCCCCCAGCTCTGCCAAGGCGAAGAATACGGTCGCCAGTTCGCCAAGCGTCCGATCAAACATGTCCCCGGCAAAGATCACCTCCACCAAACCACCCACCAGCCCCGGTGGAGCCTGTGCTGAACTTTGTGCTAGTGCCTGAAGCAGCTCTGCTGCATGCGCCCAGGGGATTCCAGCGAGGTCTGCTGCAGCTAACCGCCCACCCACATCTGTCAGTACCCGGTTCACAACGCTTCGAGCCCTCGTGTCTATCTCTTCCTCCGCATTCGATTCGCCTGCTCCCCGAAGTGCCAGCAGCAAGAGTCGCGCTTGCAAGCTTGGGGATGCGGAGGCTGCTGCAGATTCCAGTTGCTCAAGGATTTCACAGTGCTGTTTGAGAGGAGGAGACTTCAGTGCGCAGGCCACTGCCAGCGCAATTTCAAAGCTCTCTGAGTCTAAGTCCACTCGTGTCAGCTCCGCCAGCCGTGCCCATGCAGCATTTTCTGTACTTAACACCGGTGCCGCCGCCGCCAGCTCAGGTAGAGACATCCTCTGAACCCGCGACGGCAGATCTGCGATCAGCTCGGCAAGCGGCCCGTCCTTTCCCACCTGCCAGCACTGCAACACACTGCAAGACACCGCACCTCCTTCTTCGCACATGGAAGGTAAGGCACCGAGCTCTGGAGCTGCAGAAGCTGCGGCGTGGAGAGGGCTGCGACGCCGGATGTCGCAAGCCCCGTGCGCAGGCATGCGAGCATGCCAGGGCCCATGGGGTCCCCGTACGGGGCCCCGCCACGGGCCATGGCAAGTCCTTGGAGGAGCGGCGCCAGCTCGGACAGGGGCATCGCACTAGCTCCAGCCGAACACTGCTCCTGAAGGAAAACGCTGCCAAAAAAAACACGCCCTGACACTCTTCGCTGCTCACTGCTGCCTCTAGCTCCTCAACCAACACCGCGAAAACGTAGTGATTTGCGAAGCCTTGGCACCTGAACGTAAATGCCAAGATGATTGTATACAGACCAACTCTCACGTCACCACAGCCTGTCCAGAAGAGTGGGCACATCTGCGGTTGCCTCACATTACCAGACCCCTCACGTAGACCTTATCTAAAGTATCAGCTCTCACGGTTGTCTCTTCCATGCTTCAGCGATCTGCATTTCCCTGCAGCCTGGAGCAGCGCGTTGCTCAAGCCGCTGGTCAAGCGCAAGTTGGCTCCTGAGGCGCTCGCAGCAGCGCGGCGCGAGTTCAATGACTTGCGACTTGCACACCGTCTTTTCTTGCAACATCGAAAGAGAGCAGAGAGCGCTGTTTCCGCATTCGCGCCTTGCGTGCCCAACTGACTGAGCACTGCTGCCAGGCGCAGTGTCCAAGCCGGCTCCCACGGCACCTGCAAGTAGGGCCGAGGGAATTAGTGAAGTTATAGGCTCGGTAAGCCAGCTGATAACCTCGATAAGTCATGTCATAAGTTTCACAAGTATATCAATATATCAATGGCTATGACATTTACAATTTAGCTCGCGCTCTTATAAGTTCGCAGTAAAGTCAATGGTGTGTTTTGATATCGGAATGTACAAAAAACTTACAAACTGGTTAGTACAGGACGTATAATACTCATGGAAAGAAAACTTGTAAAACAGTGTCTTTGATGGTTCGTGCAATCAAGCGAAGCTATCTTTATTGAACTTTTGCTTTGTTTTTGCACGTTTGGGTGCAAAATTGATGTGTCCTTGTGGTATATGTGCGTGCATGAGTGCATTTCGTGTCTCTGCACCGCATTGCTTTTGGTGTGTGTCTCTCTGTGCGTTTCTGTGGGTGGCTGGGTGCGTTCTGTGTCTGAGCCCCCTTTGGCCTGGCGTGAAACTACCTTGGAGATCAGTACCCTCGAGGCTTCACTCGGAAAGTATGTCCAAAAACATCAACAAATAACACGTCAAGCAAGCTAATTAAGCTCGGTACCAGTGTCCAGCAGCTGCTGATAATCGGAAGCCTGATGAACCAAGCCAACCTCCATCACGACCAACCCCCAATGAGACGGATGTCTCCAAACCAAAGCAACCAACAATTGCACGAGCAGGTGGAGCTGATTAATTTCAAGCCATTCAAGATGCCGATCTTGACACCATTTTGGCACAGTAGGAATCTCTGCTTCCCGGCCTCTGTGCCGAGGAATGTGGTGCTTCTGGATTGACTTCACAGTTTCAGTCCTTACGGTTGTCTTAGGACAGTCCAGGCCGGCCGGGTCTTTGTCCGAAAGTGGATCAGGCCGAGTGAGTTAACTAAGTCTGCAGAGATAGACTTGTGCATTCCATTCCATTGCTCTAAATTTCCTGTTCCTCCTTCAGCTCATTTTATTCGGCTCGAAGAGTTGCGAACGCTAGCTCACGCAATGTTGCTAAGCAAAGCTGACTCTGAGGATTATTTCTTGAAGGAAGCTACGCACTGGACGAACCAGGTCCAGAATGTCACTGTGTATCAGTTTCCGCTTCGGCATATGTCCGGGCCGGCGAAGCACGACCAAACTTGGTACACCTGACTTCATGGAACAGACCACAATGGGCCCATCGTAATTTTTGCTTTAGGGTGAGTTTTGCCCACTGACATAGAGGTAGCCTCCATTCCCCCAAATAAAAGGAAATACGTTCTCCTTTTACGGAACAGCCAGTGATAAACTAGGCAGGGAAAAAGGAATCGTCAGTGAGCTGCATCATTCCACAAAAACTCTTGTGGCATACTTTTCGGCGGCCACATGAGCCATGCTCACTTTCGCAGAAAGTCTGCTAATGCTGATGTATCTCACGAAAATCATTTATGCAAGGACAACCCCCTTGTCCATTCGCCGTCTTCGGACCGACACAGATGACTGTGCAGAGGATCTTATGGCAGCAGCATCAGCTTTTTCCAAAGCCAAATTCAAACGAGTGCATGTTTCATCCTTAAGCTCTGTTTCGACAGTTAAAAACTGCAGACCCACCGACCACTCATGTCAAGAGACAAGTTCTGTCCAGTTGTCAGCATATTCAAAGCAGCTTGTTGTTTCCCGATCTTTTCTTGCCGCCCTTTTCTCAAGCAAAACGAGTGTTTCGAGACTCGTGGTGGGTGCCATGGCCAAACGCCGACGAAAAGTACGGCGCAAACGCAAATCCACTGCGTCCGATAAGTACGTCGTTTTCAAATGCTTCGGCAACCTGACCTTCAAGCTCATCATCGTCGAGTTCTTCCTCTGGCTCCAATTCTCCGCGTCGTACAGACTTCAAGAGTGGCTAGTGGTTACCCAAGGACTAGAACTTGACCCTAGAGACGAGTCCATTCCACTCATCGTTTCAATCAGATGAAACAAGAACTAGTTCCCAAGCGGTCCAAAGTACAACAGCATTGTTGCACGGAAGCTACATGTATTATGTGCTTATGTGCTTTGATGTCAAACGAACTGGCAGAGCCAAGCTCATGCTCAGCTTCGTTAGCACTCTGCAATTCTCGGACGAAAGTAACAAGAAGCAATTTAATCAGATTGTTGATCGGGTCCTGTCGCAGTCTTGAAGTTTCTCTTGTGTTTCTCCGTTTGTTTGTCTGCTTGTTTGTGGGTTCTTTGTCTGTTTGGGTGTGTGTTCGTGTTCTGTTTGGGTGTGTGTTCGTGTAGTTGGTGGGTTGTTTCGTTGTTCTGTTCGAACTACTTCTTCGCTCTTTCGTTTGTTTGTGTTTTGCTTGTGTGGGGTGTGTGGATGTTTGCTAGTTTCTTTCTTTGCTTGATGTTTATTGTGTGTGTTTTGCCGGTTGTTTGCTTTCTGTGTTGGTGCGTGTCTGTGTGTGTGTGTGTGCGTCAAAAACTTCATGTCTTTGTCTCTGTTTGCAGCTGTCTATGTTTTTAGTGCTTTTTTGACTTATGCGGTGTGTGTAAACTTTTCACGATAAAGATACTTATAATTATCAACAACTTGTGAACATTTATGTAACACACGTAGAACTTATCACTACATCAAGATAAGTATAGATTTTTTCAGTTCATCAAGTCAGTTATACGTTGGACAAGTTCGAGCGCCCGCCCAACCACGGCACCACGTTTCTGCAAGTCTGCTGGGCCTGTTCCCCGGCGTCCCGCGGCAATCGCCGAGCCAGTTCGCCCAGGGCTTGCTTCAGGCCGCTGTCCGAACCGAAGCTGCCTCGAGATGCCTCAGATCCAGAATGTAAACCATGCGAGTAGACAGAGGGAGAAGGACAGGGGAGAGGGAGACACGAAATAATGAAGAGGCAAGCCAACGAGCAAACAAACACGGGGGGTTGGGTTGTCTACCCAGCCGCGTCACGCGTCACGTTAGGGAGGCAGCACACAAAACTATACGGACCTACATAGAAGCCATACTCTCGCACTGAAGGTGGTGAAGCGGGAACGAAGCGGCACGTAAGCCCTCAAACCTCATTCAGCTCCACTCGTGGGAGAGAGGGCAAGGAAGCGCCCCCCCCCAGTGCGGATGCTCCAAGCTTGCCGCCTAGCGAAATCCAGCTCAATTAGGGTTTTGGCCGCCAGCAGCCTCGACGACCAGGGGAAGGAATTGGAGGCCCTCGGCTAAACACATTGAGTGTCAAAATGCGTGCGCTTTCGGGCTTCGTCATCTTCCACTGGTCGCGTGGCATCGGTGACAGGCAGCGCGCTCGCATGCCAGATGTCACTGTGCGAGGTCAAAGGCGGCGGGTCCATGCATCCCCCAGTTGGCGATCCAGACGTCGGCTGGCCGACGCCGAGGCAAAAGGCCAGGCTTCTCAACCTCAGTCTGCAATCCCGCACCTTGCGGTGCGTCCTGCACGCAAGGAGCGAGTTTGACTCGGTCGCCCCCACACGCCCAGCACTGTGAGTGGTCGCCAAAACCGGTCTGCGATGCCATCACAGAACGGTCAGGCACACGCAGCCCTAGCCAACTGGAGCAGGACTCGGAAAGGCGAAGGGTCTCCGGGGTTTTGGTGGGAGGCTGCTGGACTGCTGGAGGCGCAGGTGCGCAAGCGTCCGCTGCAAAGTCACCCCGCGGCAAGGCCGGGCTTGGCAGGTGGTCCGGCAGGACTTGCTGCTGGCAGCCAATGTGGCTTGTTAGGCCCAATCGGTAGTGCGGGTCCAGTGCTTGGCACAGTAGGCAGCTTTTGCGTGAAGGCTGAGGCCATGTCCCACGCTTAGCACAGCACCTGAGTAAAAGGAGGCCAGTCTGAGCGTCTGTCAGGGGCCCCGAACAACCGGGACGTTGGTCTGCAAGTCCGCGCCACATCCGGTTGGATTTGGGCTACCCTCCTTTCTTCGCCGAGCAGGCTGCGCACCCAGCAGCAGTTGTGGCCACGCATAGAGCACGATCCAGCTCGTGAGACGCCAAATATGTTGCCTGCGAGGGTGCCTGCAGCATGGTCGTCAAGGTGGACCTTGTGCACTCCAGTGGGAGCGCTGCCCGAGGGAAAAGGGTGCGGAGGCGGTGGCGCTTGAGTTTGAAGGGCCAATTCCCGCCCATGTTTGCGCTCATGGCGTCTGATGGGCCCTGCAATGTCCCTCCGGCCACGAGGACGCTGAAAGGCAGGCGCATCCCGCACCCCCGAAAAGGAGCTATGGCTCTATATCGGTATAGGGTTCGTCGCCGCGGTATAGCGAATTGGAAGCAATGCCACGGCACGCACAAGCCAGCAATGGCGCGGCTGTGTCATGTTAAAGCACTGCTTTCAACGAACTATGAGATTCGGGAGTCGACTTCTTGCCGTTCTTGAATCGGACCAGCGACGCCTGGTGGCTGCACCAGCAATTATACGGAAAACTACGGATAGATGGGTCAGGTTACGACGACTGATGCGAATGATCGCACACTCACACGGCGAGTGTGGAAGTTCAGCAAACAACAGTTCTCGATAGGCGGTATACCGATGCACTTCCCATCAAGACAGCCACAGCTTTGACACGTCGCTGTCGTCCGAGAAAGCGTGGGTGTTTTGATGCGTGCAGCAAACCAACGAGGAAACCCTTGTAGAGCCGCGCCCATCGTGTCAGTCTCAAAATCGAACTCATGCGGTGGACTCTCAAAGCCGGAAGCTGACCACCCCGCTTGGCCTTCTGTCGGCGTCTGTGTTGTGGCACGCGGCTATCCGAGCACAGATCAAAGAGCGGCTTCTCCAGGGCAGAACTTTGAACGACTCTGGAGATCTAGGATGTGCTCCGGGCCTCCACTGTCCCTGCATGAGTCACACAGAATTCCTTGCAAGGGTTCCTTTTACCGTCCGGCGTCGTCGCGGGTCGCTTGCCCGCTGGCAATGCAAGGGTCCAGAAATGGCTCACTTGCAAACCAATCTCTGTCAGGCCCCTGTCGATGTCGCAGAATGTTCAATTTGTCACTATCCCGGCGCTTGTGCCAACCGTCACTCAAGAAACGCGACTACGGCTTGCAGACGTCGTGCACTTTCGGGCTGTCTTCAACAAATGGCCCGAGGTTTGAATTGTTCGGCACCAGCGGGACATGATGGGAAGGCCATACAAACCTGACACAGCAAATAAATTATGCACGCTAAATCGAATGATGTCGCACTCACTCTCGGTCAGAAAATCAATGACCAAAGGCCACAAGGACATGGTTTTATTCCATGAAGCAGGAACCGTATGCTAAAGCCTCGAAAAAGTAAACGAGCACCACTCTAAGTCTCAACACTCCGGAAGCTCCCAAGAACACCCCCATGACACCCCAGAACACGCACCGTGGCAGGAGCACGATCGTAGGAGGCGGATACGACCAGCTGCAAGGCTTTGTGACGGGAGCCCGATTCGAATGTCGCCATCATGCAAATTTCCATCTCAAGACAAACCAACATATGCACGGGACCGTCGCGCTTAAGTTAGACAACAGGAAGGTCCTGGAATTGACTATGAGTAGCCGTCTGGGCTCTCGCAGCGCAGAGGCCCAGCCCGCAGTGACACCACACCCTTTGGGGAGTTGAATTCGGTTCCAGAGTTCTGGGGTTCTGCCAGACAGAAGAGGGGCGGATGCGCGACAGGGTTCGATCAAGAAAGACACTCCCGGAGCTGCAACAGCCGTCGCGTCGCCCGCGCCATGCAGGGGCGGTGCCACGGGCGGGTTGCAGGCTCTTCGCTGCCCTCAGCCATTGGAAGAGGTGAAGGTCGAGTTCAATTGCACGTCTGACATGCAGACAGACAGACGAAGGAGGGAGAGCGAGAGAGAGCCAACTAGGACCACGGCTCGTATTGCGCCGCCTACTAAACAGCTTCTCTGTCTTGGCCGAGATGATTCTTATGCCGGGTTTGTACGGTTTTTGCAGAGGATCAGCTCTCCGACGAAGTTTGTCGTGCTTTTGCCCTCATTTACATGGGGGAACGGTGTTTTGTAGTCGATTTGGGCTTTTCGATGCATCCAGAACTACCTCGGAAACAAGGGAATGGTGTGGGTTTTACGAGACAGACAAGGCGATCCTGACAGAAGGCTTTCCAGGGCGTCGAGGAACTGTTTGGGCGTGCACGGTCCAAGCGACGCGCGCCAGTTCCACATGAACAACTGCTGTTTGACCGCAGCATTCAGAGCACTGTCGCCATCCACTTTCAGCTTTGCAGACAGCTTGGTTGGCAAAAAAGTCTTCAAACCCTGCCAGCTTCTGTCCAGCATCTGAGTTCCGGCTACACAAAAGAGGAGCACACTGCCGGGCCTGACACGCTTGCAGAAGGTCTTTACCTGATGGGTGACGTAGTGATGCTCCAGCCCCAAATCTTGAGCAGAGGTTTGCCAGTTCTTGTTGCCGTCCGAGTAAACCGCCGAAGCTGCATTACGGCGTATCTTCCTCAGAAAATATACAAAGAATCACGACCTCCACTGCGGCATCGAGTGGCCGACAAAAAACCACCAAGTGGTCCTCAAGCTCCGCAGAAGGCAGGCTGTCTAGGCTTGCGAGACGGCGGTCGCGCAAGGGAATACCAGCAGCTCGCAGAAGCAGGTATATATCGACAAATTAAGCGCCAGCCACTGGAGCATGGCGAGCTTGCTGCTACACTTGTTGAGTCTTCGACTATTGCTGATTGCCGTGTCACCATTTTGTTGCTGTCTGCCGGGTTTCCAAGCCCCCGAGCAAAAAGGCTCAACGCAGAGTCATAAGGCTCTCATGCCGCGCACCTGACATCCGAACTGTTAGGGGATTCGTGGTTTAGGGTGAGGTCCGACCTGAACGAAACTGCCCCCAACCACCCGAACCCAGCAGAGTCCGAAAACGCCACGCCGTTATACACACCGTGGGCCGCAAAGCAGCCAAGCTGCTTCCAATGGCAGCTGCTCCAACGCACCGAGCAGCTCTGGTGGGGAGCCACCCAAGTGCCGAGCCTCTCATGTCGTCACGAAGAGTCGTGAAGCAAACGAAAAAGAACAACAGCGAGGCTCCGACCAGCTGTGCACTGGTGAAGCGCCTCCTCAGTTCTCGAGCATGAACTCACTGCCATGGTGAATAGCAGAACCAGCTCCTTTGCGAAAGCACTCTGCAACTTCTTCCGTGCCAGGCTGAAACCTCCACAAAGCTCATACAGCCACAGTATCTCACCGAAAACCACAAGATCCACGACTCAGGACAGCCGAGTGCCTGGGCAGCCGCACGAAGCGAACGCGAGTGCACCATGGGCGATGAGGATGCGAGTGGCTATGAGTCATATGAGTCATGAGTGGCTCTTGTGGTAAGCCAGCTGGTCGTGTACTAAGTGTGGAGAAAATGGGACCCGATGACTGCGGCATCAATACTTTCCGGTGACGAAGGCTCTCGCAGTCGCGGAATAGGCCCGGGCCAAGCTCACGGCGCAACTCCTCGCAGGCCGCATCCACCTTGGAACGAGGCCACGTCATCCGAGCGAATCCCAAAAAGCTTTTTTCAACAATTTTACGCTTCCCGAGCTGTCCCCCTTAATTTTCCCCCGGCCCCGGCCGACGCGCCGTGCCTCGGCAAGGGTCACGGCTTCGCTTCGACCCTTCTGGTCGCTGGCCTTCGCGGGCCACACAGCCGACTCGATAGCAAAGGACTCTCCCCTCCCTCCCCCTGCGGTAGCGCACCAACTCCTGTGCCAGGCAGGCGACGTCATCCTGAAGGCAGCAAAAGCCCCACAGCCACCTTACGAGGCTTCCCTTATTCCATTCCCGACATCCGAGAGCGGCTACCTCAATCTGGCTGACTTTGCGCGAAAGCCTGAGTCTTGGAGTGGCAACGTGTATATAAGCCGCTTGAATTGACGACTGCTGCATACCATAACGGCTGTGACTGTCTAACTCTCATCTTCAGCTCGAGGCGTAGCGATGTCTTTGCTGCTGTGGATCACCTGCGCCAAACCACTCGCTTCAGCATGCTTCAGCTTAACTTCCTTAAGCTGCATATTAAACTGAGGCTCCCCGCCCGCTCGACGGCACCCTCCAGGACTTCTGCCAAACTGACGAAGCGTGTCAGCCCTAAAGCAGGAGCACGAGTCAGCAAAGCCAAGCCATAAAAAGAGAGAGCTTTGATGCCATGCGAGGGCCCCCGCAGGCCCAAGCCAAGCGAGCCGAGTCCGAGCTGCTGGCGGTCGTTCATGGAGCCCGTGGCGGCCGTGGCCACCTCGAGGCCGCTGCTGAGAGCCTGAGCGACTGCGACGGCACCAAAAACGCAGAGTGCAGCAGAGTGCAGTAAAAAGCTTTGGAGAAAAGTCAGTGCCTGCTCGAGAGCAGCAAAGCGCTGTTCCCAGCCTCCGCATGCGATGCGAAGGCGCTGTCCAGAGTTTTTCAGAGCTTCCACTGCTAGGTTCTCTGCGTTGGGTGAGCTTGGCGATCAAAGCTTCTTGCTGAGATTGGAGCCTTGGAATTTACAGGACATGCAGGAACACCTGCTGAGCGTTGCGATTCCTTCAGCCTCCTTGCAAGCTCCTCGAAGCTTGTCGGCTCCTTCTCGTTTGCTGCGCTCACTGTGAGCACATCGTCGCCGTGCCTACACCCGTTGCCACTTCTCTCCGAAGGTTGCGAGATGCTGCGATCTGAGCTGTCCACGCAAGTGAGCTCCTCGTGAGCAGCTCCTTGGAGCTTTCCAAGGCTCCTCGCATGGCCTGCGCGAAGCCATCTCTCGCGCAGGAGGAGCTGCGGTGCACAGAATTTTTGATTGCTGAGCAAGTACATCACATCATGAGGAGGAGATGCCACGTTGATGGGATGCGGTTGCGAACTGGCTGCATCCAGACACTGCGTTTAGAAACGACAGACGCGTAAGTCTCTCTGTGTGTGTGTGCACAGGCGACGTCGCCTGCATAGTCTGCTCGACCTCTTGCATGTGCTGTCGGCCTCAGCACTGCATAGCGCCGCCAGTCTAACCCACTTGGCCCAAAACTCCAGTGCTGCAGTGGTTGGGTGCCCACTTTGGTGCAAGTTTGTTTGGACTTTCTGCAGGCTCGCGGACGACTCCACGCTTGGCGACCTGTCACAGTCCACATTAACACCGTTCATGCATCTTGCCGTCCGGAACGGGGGTGCGCCTCTGGCCGGAATAGAAGCGTGACCTCTGCTTTGCTCGAGTCTGCGCTCCGATTTGCGCTTGGCTTGGCTCCGGGCTCCCGGAAGTCTGAGTCTCGGCTAGGGGTCCTGCGAGAGCGAGCAGCCTTCTCGCAGCTGAAAGACTTAGACTTCTTTTTGCAGAGGACGGTGCGTCTCGAAAAGCGTCCTAAAGTGCGAGGCACCGGAGGCCACACCCGAAGCCGCACCCGCGGAGTCCAGGCTGGAGGTTCGGGAGGGAGCCTGGAGCAGGCGCCAGACGGCGAGTGCTCATGCTCGGCCGCGCTGTCTGCACCCTCCCTTGCTTGTGCCTTTGAACGATCTTGTGGGGTCTCAATCCTCGAAAGGTGTGGGAGCAGCACAAGCTTTGTGAGCCAGCATCTGCCATCATTTGCACTCCTTTTCCGTTCTCTGGGACCCCGTGCCCGGCTCGCGACCGTGCTGTCCCAGGGTGCGTCGGGTGTGCATGGGGTACTGCTTTGCCTTGGGCCTTCTGCAGGGCACCAGCATGCCCCGGAGGTGCTGTCGGCGCCCTTACCAGGTCTAATCGAACCGCAGGATCTCTTGTCGCAGGCCCATCCAAGCCAAAGGCGGAGAGGAAGCCACGCTGCGCACCGAACCTCAGGATGACAAGCAGAATCCCGCTCCTGACCCCTGACAAGTCTGGGTACCGCACCACTCATCGGTGCAGAGCTGGGGGCTGGCGCTGCGACAATGGTCCTTCAAACAGCAAGGAAGCAAGCCCTGCACATTAAACATCCTCTGGGCGCCCGAGCCGGTATGGCATCCGCGCCCTGCGAAGTGCTGAACCAGGCTAAAAGACAAGGCCTTTCCGATCCCATCCCAGCTCCCGGCCCCATTGCTGGTGGGTTGCCCACTGCCACCATAGCTCCAAAAGGTGCGGACCCGGATGGTACCTGGCAAGACAGGTCAAGGGGTCCACATCGCCATTTCGATGTTCGACCCCATCAGCCTGCACCATGCCTGACCTGAGCTGGTTGCAATTTGTCCCCTGACATTTGCTGTCCCTCTAAGGTGCGCGCATCTGCGGCCAAATGGCCTCGACCCGAATAAATATCCACAAACTAGCGTTGCCTAAGCATAATTTAGTGCGCCAAAGAAGTCTCAAACGAGGGCTGTCTTTTCCTCTTACGCAGTAAGGATGGCCAGGAGCTTCTCGCGCTCAGGCCCCCCGAAGCCTATGGAGTCCAGGTAGGCCAGAGCTCCTCCTCTGAAGCACTAGAGCACTTCCTAGAGAAGCAGACAATGCAGCATGCAAAGGAATCACTCTATAATTCTCCTTCGCTGTCCAGCAGATCCAAGGTGTACTCGAGAGTTCCGAGATAGGCCACCGAACCCTGAAGCACGGCAAGCGCCTCCAAGGAGATGCTTTCAGTGGCACAATGATGTTACAAAAAACCCATGTCCCATGTCGCGGGCTCCGAATCCACACGAGCCTCACCCTGGTCTGGAGGCTCCTTTGGCACCTCGGACTCTGGCCTCAAGTCCTCCCGCAGAGGCGGAGTAGACCCGTCAGCCTCGAGCCCGGGCCACGTCGCGTCGAAGTGGAGCTTTGGGAGTGTCGGCTGCATCCGTTGCCATTTGCTAGGCGACTCAGCTGCTAGCTGCTCCCACCTCACACTGCGACTCCGCACGAGGAAGACCTACAAAGAAGGAAAGACAACTTAAGAAATGAAAAAAGCTGCAGTCTCGGCAAAGGCACCATAGGTGCTGAGCCACCTGGTTACAGGCGTCGATGTGTCGGGCGGCCTCGTTGGTCTTCAAATAGTCATGTACGATCGTCTCGCGGTCACAGCCCAGGGCTGACAAAATGAGGCAGCTCAACCTCGAGACGCGACTGTCAAAAGCAAAAACCGCTAGACTGGCTGGACGAGCATGCCTTTTTCCGAAATGGCGGCAGGGCCACCTTCGACGATTCGACTGTTCTCAAGAGGTTTCGTAATGTTTCGTACAATGGCGACAAGACAACAGCATACAGGAGTCTCTGCCACTTGATGCTGCGTTTCAAGGCTGTGCTTGTCCCAGTCTCGGCCAGCCCGGGTGTCAAAGCTCGAACCGAGTTGACCTAGCTCTTGCGCTGATTTTTCCGTGGCCCTACGGATTGCGCGCTAGCCATTGTCTCGGCAGAAGCACCTTCAAGCAATCAAAGGTGTTTTGCGTCATCACACTCTGTCCGAAACAGGCCTCATTGGAATTGAAGCAACCCAATTGGCCTAGCTCGCCTACCAAATGCCTTAATTCATTTGTGTATATTTTTCCCGCAAGCAATCTAGCTCATCTCTCAGCCGCCAAGAAGGAGGGTTATAGGGGCATGGAAATCGACGAGTCTCAATGCTAACATCAGGTATTGCGAACTTTGATTCTCGAACTCCCTACTTATCACCACCCAAGATGCATTGCTGTTGTTTGTCGTCGGCTGTAAACGTTGCCGCCATCGGTGCAATCTACGCACTGCTATTTGGAAGCCTTTGGGCATTGAAGCACCCGTTGAAGTTGCGAAATTTATCTCGCCGTGCGGCAGACCGGTCCGGTCCTTCCCGGCTACGCAGCCGAAGACCAGGGGATAGTTCTTTTCCTACATCACATCGGGGATGCTATTTTCAGGGAATATTGCCACTGTGAGTGACCTGACATCCCTCTCCTCGGTGAGAGCGAGAAGCGCACGCAGCAGCTCGTCGCTGTTGACGAAGAGAACCGTGCGGTTCACGGCTGCCAGGTGGCTGGCCGCGTTGATCTCCATGTCCTTGGCCAACGCAAAACCTTAGAAAATGCCACCAAAGCAAGGCAAGAAAGAAGCGGAAACAACAGGCGTGTTCGCTGTACTTGCACTGCACCTATGCCTAGCTTTAGTTTGGATTTCACGCACTCATGTGCTTTAAAGTAGTCGGAGGCGTGCGAGCTGTGTAACCAACAGTGGGAACCATGCCATGGTCGACGCTCTACCTGAGTAATAGATGGCACCACAAACATTGATTACTCGCTCACATGGACCAAGTTGATTAGTGTTCATGCACTTGCCGCTTGCTTGCATGCATGCTTGTGTGTGTGTGTGTGCATTCGCGTGCTACGTGCGCGTGTCTGTGCCTGTCCGTCTGTCCGTCTGTCTGTCTGTCTGTCTGTCTGTCTGTCTGTCTGTCTGTCTGTCTGTCTGTCTGTCTGTCTGTCTGTGGGCGTGGGGTGGTGTGGGCGTGTGGTGCAAAGAAGCGGTGTGATCATCGATCCTCCTAAACTTCGAGAGGCCTGTCTCGTCTACCCCTTGCTCCAAGCCGAAACTCGGGACGGTGTTAAAGAAGGGACCGTGCTTGGAAACTACATGTTCAAAAGCCAATGAGCCTCTCATCGAGCCTTGGCTAACCTTCTTGTTCGTCTTGTCCGTCTTGTCCCAAACTGCCCTTGCTGTCTCAGGAGAGCTCTTCCGCCCAGCCCACCCTAACTTCTCAGGGGTTGCGTGTCGATGCCGATGTGCGGTTGCAAAAAGCTCCTGTACTGACGAAGAAGCTGGCCTACTGTTGGCATCCCGGTGAGGCACAACATTGGAACTGCAGTGTCTTCCTCTGAAAAGCGTTTCCCTAAACGGTCATCAGAGCCGTCCTCGGCTTCCGGCCCAGCGCTTCTGCTGAGGCACACGATTTGTGTCTGTGTTTGTTTGTGTGTGTGTGTGTGTGTGTCTGTGTTTGTGTGTTTGTGTGTTTGTGTTTATGCGCTTGTGAACACGCTGTTATCAAAAGATGAACATATTGCGGGTGGTGCTTGTGCGCTTGTGTGTCTGTGCGTAGGGGCGGAAGGAAGTGATAGCCAAGCATCGTGTAAGCCGCTGGAACCACCAAGAAGTCCAGGCCTAATCGAAGGGACGCAGCCCAGGTTTCTTGCACACTCGCAACCCCGCCACTTGTCACTAGTCTCCTTCGCTGCTTTCTGCCTCCCCTCTCAAGCTCAATTTCAATGAGTTGAGCTCTGGCTGGATTCCTGAATCCGGGTGCATAGCTTCGTTGAGAATATGTGGCGATTGTGTTGGCTCCACCGCAAATACAAACTTTGCCCACGAAGTAAGGCAGAAATCACGAGCGTACCAAGGCCTTCGAATTTCAGAACCTTTGGAAAGCACAAACAGTTCGAGACAACTTTTTAGCTTCTCAACATCCACCAGATAGTCTCGTCTCACTTACTTGAAAACGCCATCTTCCCTCGTATGTTCTGCTACGTGATCTTTGTTTCGTCAGGCGGTTCGAAAAGCAGACAGGCAAAGACATGGACAGGCCGAGGAAAGACGGCTTCAAGAACGGAGGAAGCAATGAGTGAGTTCCAGATAGTCACCTGTATCTCGTCTGCAGCAAAGTGGGGGCTCTGCAATAACCTCTCAGGTCTAGGTCTGTACAAAATCACATCTTCGTGACAGCCGAGGCGGGGGTTGGAGCTCCTACCTCCGAAACTCCGAGTAGAACAACCCCAGTTGCACGTAGAGCACGAGCCAGACCTCGCCCGCTCGTGCAAGAAGCGAACAAGTGTCTTGGAGTTACACGCAAGTCTGCGTTTCGAGTGGCTTGAAGGGGTCCGGAAACCGCAGCTGGAGGTGCACCCTCTTGATGGCCCCCGGCGGCGAGGCCCTGCCATGCACATAGGTGCACCAAGTAGTCCAGTATGGCGCCCTCCTTTCCACGATGAAGCCACCCACAGAGCGCAGGGCCGACAGTGTTGTCCTCCTGGCGGACAATTCTCGCCAGCGCCAGCGTGGTGGGTCATAAGGTGGTCACGCACCAGGCGCAAGGTCGAGGACTTGCTCATTCGTCATTTGCAGATAAGTGAGTTCGGGTGAGGTCGCGTGGGCGGCTCTGAGTGTGTGGCTTGCCCCTTCGGCGATGGTGCTTCGTAGCGGGTCCCCCGGCTGCACTGGTCTCTGACTGTCTGGGGATGCCCCCCCACTCTGCTCGGCAAAGCGTTCGCCCTTCACCTATGTAGCTCCCACCACGGAAAGCATCAAGTCTTCTCAGCTTTGGGCTTTTCAGCCCAGCTGTGTGCAAAAACCCTCCGTCATGGAAGTGAAAGTTCAATTCGAGGAACCTCTTCAGAACTGAAAGTTCCACCGGCTTTCTGACCCCAGAAAGCCAGATCCAAAAAGAAGCTGATCATTGCTAAGTTGCATCCTGATTCAGAGCAGAAGCATCATACCCACCACAGCAACCATCACCACCACCACCGGCATCACAATCACCATCATCGTCACCATCATGACCGTCATCATCACCATCCGATATCATCCGACTTGTCTCTGCCAGCCAGGCTCTACGGTTGCAGATAGAAAGAGCGAGGGGCGGGAAGAGCTCCTCCCCCCAAGCCCCGAATGGAGCCACATGACACACTCACATGCTGCGAAAACCTTTGCGCTTCTATCGGTGAAAAGACCAAGTCTCTGCCCTTTCACAAGTGCCCCCAACCGTTCACGTCGCTCGAAAAAAGTCACCCTTCACAACGATCATGGACGACGCCTATCATCGGACAGTATCAGTATTACGAGTATACTCAGGACCGCCATAATTAATCCCTCCCGTCTCAATCGGTTGCCGCCACACCCGTCTCTCCGTCTCATCAAGTAGTTGGGCCTTGCGGTCGGACTCGGGCACAGCGTTTAGCTTCTCATCAGCAGTTGAGCCACGCAAGCGCAAGTCCTATGCTGTGACCGCCAGTCCCACCGCAAGAGGTCGAAACGAATCCGAAGCTTGCAGCTGCGAGTGAGAAGACTGACCACATAGAAACCCCGGTCCTTGGTCACGGGGCACCACAAGCGGCGGCCCCCAGCTGCGACTGGTGGCGGTGCACCTGCCGGCCAGGTGCCCTCTGCGAGAAGGTAACCTCGATAGCCTACATGAAGCAGCGACAGGTGACTTGCACTGCAACACGCCCGCAGACAGGCAATTCGACCGACTTGCCCCATCGCGGGCACTTGATGTCCTATTGAAAGTTCACGCATGGCAACGCCAGGCCACAGCATTGTCTTCGGATGAATGGCCATTGCACCCTTCCCGGCACCAGACTCCACGAACCAATTTAATTTTGATCAATAGTCAGCCTGTCTCACACTACGCACCGCCCCTGCCGTCTCGGCCAGCCACGGAGTCTTCAATCTGTCACAGGCGACCAGCCCCGTGGCAGCAATTAGATTTGTGAGCTGGGATGAACCAGGCATCTGCTTGACTCTGTATCTGTCTCTCTTTGCTGCTTTCTGCTGCTCTCTCTCGTCTTGTCAGCGCGCCTCTTTCGGTTGTGCTTGGGCTGGGCGGGAAGAGGACGTGATGCACCTCTGCATCTGCTCCCTCAAAGTCGCGGCCCTCGCGCAGGTCCACGTAAGTCCGAAGCTGCAGTGCTTGCAGCACAGCCTAGGCTGCGGCACTGGCAGAGGCGACTCCGAATGTCAGTGGAAAGAAGCTGCCCAGGTGCCAGATCTTCCTTCGTGGCGGCGGCGAAGTGCCCTGAGCGGAAGAGCCTGGGAAGAACACCCCGAGCCGCGCGACGAAGACTTGCCGGTGGCTGCCAAGTAGCATTCCCCTTCGAAGCACCTTGCCGTTACGGCACCGAATGGGATGGTTGCCGGGGCTCGAATCAGCCACATCGCGGAAATTGGCCACACCTCGGTCAACAAGCTTCAGTGGACTGCGCGGCGGCGCAAGGAAAACTGTGGTCAAAACATCTTTCGGTCAATGGTCAATCTGGGTTTCGATCGACCGACTTGCTTAGCTTAGCGAATCTTGGGCAGGGGCGCGTTGGCGTTTTCGTGCTGAAAACAAAAGACTCACGCTGAGACATTTTTGGCACTCGCACTCGACAAGCATACATATACATACACATAAATGTGAGCATGTCTTTGTCTATGTATATGCACATGTACATGTACTGTGTGATATAGGTACGAGTGTAGGCAAATGCATTACGTTTATGTATATGTACAATATATACCGTACCATGCCATACCGTACTTACCAAACGAGTACTTAACATAGCACACGACACGATTTAAAGCCATACAGCAGAATATAGTTCGATCTAACATGGCGTAGCATAACACAAACTGCATGGAACGGCATGGCCTGGCATATCACAACACCTTGCACAATACAACACACTGCAATCCGATACGTTACGACATTGTAGAAAATAGCAGAATATAGCATACCAGAAAAGAATCAAAATCAAATACGGTTCGATGCATAAAGGAAACATATCATGTAATATGAAGTCATACGATAAAGAATGGACATTTTGGATAACATAGTATGATATGATGTACAATGATGCAATACAAGCCATATAGCATGACAAAAGTAGTTTAATGAACTATGCCGTAAGTTGACACATTAAGAAGGTGTATAAATATCTGGCGCAGTGCAATGTAATGTACTATACTATGATTTATTGTCACGTGATGCAGGGGTAAACAATCCATAAAGAGTTTGAACGTGCTCCAGAATAAAATGCGCACAACACAACATATTATAGCGAAAGACACCAAAACATACTACCATGTAAGATGAGGTAAGATATGATAAGATAGGACCATCACCTAACAGAATATGTGCTATGCTAGACTGTAGTATAACATATTGTACTACCTAACACCATAAGGTATGACAATGACATGGCAAAATATAAGATGGTGCAATATAGTTTTATAAGAAGTAAGGCATACGACATAGTACATCCTCTGTATAATATAATAGAATACACAACTTCGTACCATATCATGACTATACAAATAAAGCCATGTCATATCACACATGGCCCACAGATGTTGTATAGTAGGGTAACAATAATAGTGATCTAAAATAGCACCATACGACATGATATAGTGTTGCTTCATCACTATGGTATGCCGTGGCTGGCAAAATAGAACACAGTATACTATTATACACAAGTACTGCTTAATCTATCGTGAAAATGTGTGTGTGTGTGAGTGAGTGGTGTAACCATGTTCTCCTATCTTCACCCAGAGGCATAGATTCGGCATAGATTGCCACCCATGGAAGACGGATAAGATAAGCAGATGTGGAACAATGAAACACTTACCCAGCAACCCTCCCCCAAGCTTTTTAAGCAGCGTTTCGTGCCCAAACTTGCGAGATGATGACTTCGGAGGGTTTCTTTATCTAGGGTCGAAAAATGGCATATGTATATATATATATATACAAAATTATACAAGCTAGATAGTACGCGTTTATTTTGAGCCATCGTGTGGCCAAAAAAAGGTGACGACAAAAGGCGATTTAGTGGGATCCAGAGCTTGGACGGAGGGATTTTTTCCCACCCGCCCAGCTGACAAAGTCGCACCACAGGGAGTTTCGTCGGACTATACGGACGGATTTCGTGTTGAGGGTTTACGAGTGCGAGGTCTACGACTTTCAAAGCGCATGCCTCTGGCTGGGTTTTACGCTTGGGCAATCCGGGCGCGGTGTCTGAGTTCGATGATGACATTGAGCAGCCTCTTTGGGCAGTGACTGTACCTGGGATTGCACTTAGGAAGTGTGCAGACAAGACGGAGTGCTTCAAAGTGCTATCAACGGGCCGGGCCGATTTAATCCGTCTGTGCGCTCTTGCCAGGCCGCCGAGGGAACCGAAAATTGATTACGGTTTAGGCTTACACTCTCACAACTCGGACAAGCCAGGCGAGGATCCATAGT